CCCTGCAAAAGCGGCATTCAATTGGCTGAAACGGTAAAACGGGGAAATGGAGGAACCCCTGAAGCGCATTTGGGTGTGGTGCCTTTGAAATATGTTGTAACTTGCGCCCCTGCCCCCACCCACTGGATCATGGAAATCTAGATCAAGCACCACTAAAATGGTCTTCCAAATTGTGCTGACTGCTAGTGTTTGGGGGCAGGGCCCAAGAAATATGGGTTTCCAGGAGAAACCAAGCTTCCCAGCTGAATTCACCTCGACGCCCGCCTGAGATAATTTTTACCGAGGATGGCCTACGCACTGCAGAAGCTGCGGTCGAGACACCTCCCACCGCAGGACGCCGCGCTCGTCTTTTTTCCGGCCTACGGCGCAGGACTTTTGTTTTGGCCATTGGGTTTGTTTTTCAATTAGGGGGGTATCTTCCTGTTACAAGAGTTTAATAACAGCGACAAGAACAAAACTAACAACGATTAAGAGTTTAGGGCTCATACCACGATCAATATTTTTTTGGTTCGTACCACGATAACGGCGAGTTTCAAATGGGTCGTCTTTCTCTGAGGCTTCCCTTCTTTCAGGCAGTTGGGATCTTTGGACTTAGCTTTCGGGTTGAAACAGGCTCGGATTTTCCATCGGACCCGCAAACTGTTGAACTTGTTGCAGGTCAACAGCAACCAAGACAAAAGAGCACCATCCGCTTTTTTGGGAGGCAAGCCAAAAGGAAGTCAGTCCGCCTTGTTTTGGGTCCAAATCAAATCCCTTTTTGAGACGACCGATTGTAAGATCTAGAGAAAATGAGCCTGCTCAAAACCCGAAGGGCCAGTCGCGGGAAACGGGTGCGCACATTTGGCCTTTTGATTCTTTACCTGGTTGTGCGGGGGGCGAGGATGAGCATGTGGAAAGATCTGGATCCCTGGGTTCAGAATTCTTGGAAGCTACCGATGCCGTACGTCTTGCAAGTTGTCACCATCCCCAGAATCGAGGTACCCACACATTTTTTTGTGGATTTTCTTGTTCCCTTACTTGCAATTTTTGAGGCCGCTGGCTTGTTGACTTCGCGCCAGAGCCAAGTTCTTAGGCAATAGTGATACCAAGAAAACCCCTCTGAAGTGATAAAAGTAGTCAGGGAATCAACCACTTTGGTATCACAGAACGGTTTTCTCCCCCACAAGCATGTGGGTGTGCGACGAAATGACAATGGTCGTGTTCCTTTTGGTTTATATAAATCAGCCCGAGTTTTTGGGTACCCTGAAAACCCCCACACCCATTCTCAATTTTCCTGAAGCTTTTTCCACCTGAAACGGACAGATACGGTGGATGCCATAAATATTGCAAGTAAACCAACCACACACAAGCACAAACCTATGGTCAGTTCTGGTAAATTCGATGGATGCCATGGTAAATCATAGCCGATTCGATGGACCTCATGTTTTTTCTTCTTTATTTTAAGACAATCGGCTGGTTTCCTTGATCTCTTGGCAAGACTTAGCCTCCCAAAGCGAGGTCTAGCCCTGCAACTCTAGGAGCTGGCCACTTTGCTGTGGTCCTGCTGCATGCTCGGCGGCGGCGCCTCGGTTCCCTTTTTTGGCCGGGTGGGTCGGCGTTTTTTTTTTTCCTCGGCCCTTGTGGACTATGGGAAAAACCTTCCCATGTGGCCATGGGCAAACTCCAAATCCAGTGAACATCCCAATCCAACCACTAAAACAGACTAAACTGGGTGGGGCACCTGCCCCAAGATGGGATCCCAAAACGGTTTTGACAACAGCCATGTGGCGAGATGTTGTCATCCTTTGGCGGGCTCCCGAATGGTCAGCCCATGTAAAGGATCTTCTGAAATGAGTGCCCCTTTGTGCTTAGGGCCCTAACGCGAGCGGTCTCCCATTTGGCTTCGCGAAGAAAACCAACCCAAAGCACAGCCGTTTCATTGCCCATGGACTTTCTCATGTTTTTGGTTCTGCTATTTTTGGTGGGGGCCTGCCAAAAACATGTTTTTTGCTACCATACCGAGGGTTCGAAAGATCTTCACCGTGATTCTGCGCGATTTGCGCTTTGTCGGCATGGCAAGATCCGAAGGATTGAAAAAGTTGAAGCTCTTGAGACCGTAGCTCCGGTGAAGATTGCCCACCTTGGCAGGAATATTATGGACGGATTGCACTTGTTTCAGTTTTTGGTCACTCCTCCAAAAGGCGTAATTCATGATGGAATCTTTTTTTGGGGTTCTCGAAGTCAGCACCGTCTTGTGTGTTTGGGGAGTAGCTGAAAAACGGGGTTACCCAAAAGCACTCCAACCGTTGCGACGGGTCCGATTCCCATTTTCACCCAGACCTCCTGTGGCCCCTTCTTTGATTCTTTGCATTGATTTGGAGTGGGTAAACCCTCCTAGATTGTTGTTCACCAACCAGACGAGTGCCGATTTCCTTGTCTATTTCCACCCCCCCAAAAACCCGAGTGCCACTTTTGTCTGGCCTGAAATTCACATCCCCGGAAGGTGTGTGCCAGGACACCTAGAGTCTATTTTGCAACCATGAACCCTAAAAAACCAATACCCGAAAAGAAGGAGCTTGCAAAATAGATTCTATGTGTCCACCATACCCGGGGGGGGGAGGAGAAACACACACACACACACACCCTCTGCGCCTTGTCCGCGTGGGTTTCGCCCCGTTTCGCCTCGGGGTCTCGGTCTCGGTCTCGCCCCGCCGCAGGCAACGCGGAGTTCTCGCGGCGGATCTTCCAGCAGGCCCAGCATCGACTGCCCCTAGGCGTCCAGGCGTCCAGTTGCTTCGTTTTGGTCTAGTGAAAGGTCTGTGGATTTTCCCTTTGGTTTCCCTTTAAAACAACAAAGGGGACCCGGTCCCCTAAAAAAGGACGCACCCCATGGGTTTACATGATTTCATTTGTCTTTTGTTCCAAATGCACAAGAAAAAAATTGGATACTATTCCCGTAGTTCCTTCGATAAGTCTGGCGACAGGTCTGGGGATTTTTCGGGGGCCGCCCGTGGTTGTGTAACTCCCCTGAACGGGTTAACTCCACTGAACGGGGAAGCGATAAGTGGGTTATAAGTTACCCAGGCTGCCCACAACTTACTAAGCTTCCATTTGCCTAAGAATATTTTCTATTTTCCCTTGTTGGTTTTAAAGGGAATCTATCACTACTGGACATATTTTTATTTCAATCCCGGGGGTTTAAGCGAATGGAAGTAAGTGGGTTGCCCACAACTTACTCAGTTAGCAGAGATTTGCATGGTTGTTGTTGGGAAACATTAGAAACATGTTTGCTTATTGTGGTTGAGTGGTTGAAATCCGACCACCTAAGGGCTAAAACATGTTTTTTTGCTCCCCTTCCAACGTCAACCAAGCACCCGGGTGTCCGAGCCATTTCCTTTTCGGAATTTGTGGACCTTTTACCCCGAAGCCATGGGTAAACTGGTGGATTTCTGGTTCCCTTAGTCAGGGTTTCGGCCATTTCCTTTTTGTTGCGCCCAAAGTTGCAGTTTCAATGGATACCTGTGAATTGCAACTTTCTAAGGAAATTTCAATGGAACCACCAAACGTGGCTTGCTTGTTTCAAAACCATTTCTTTTTTGGGTGTGGTTTCTCAAGAGATGGGCGAACAGAATGGGGGAACATCGGACCGGGTTTTCCGAGCCATTTCCTGTTTTGTTCCACCTCAAAGTTGCAGTTTCACCAGTGAATTGCAATTTGTGAAGGGAACTGCGAGCCCTTTCCTTCTTTGAAACTGCCAAAAGTGGCTCTCTCGTTTCAAGGGACAACCAGTGACTTCCGTCTTTGGAGACCTTTTTGGGGGCTGCGGCCCAGGAAGGCCAAAGGGGAATCACCCATTTGGGAGCTGTCGGTCCAAGAATTCGGCTACATGTAGCTGTCTCAATTCGAGGATGCCCAAGGGCCTCTTTTCAGGGTACAAAGCCGATGGCGAAGGGGCCTTTCCTTTGGCGCATTTTGCCAAGGGCTGTTAGGACTGAGCGACTTTTCGCCCACTGATTTTTTTTTTTCGTATTAGGCCGCTAAAAGTGAGTCACTTTTAGCAGGGGAGCGGAAAACAACCGAGTGAGTTTGGTTTTAACATGCTCCAAACCTCCGTGCTAAGTATTCAGCCCCGGTTTCTTCCGCTTTCCTATCAAAAAAAAGAGGACCAGTGCCCCCTTGTACATGAACCCGAGTACCTTGTGGAGGGAGCAATCTCTGTTTCAAGGAACTGGGTTCGTGCACGAACCACCGAAGGGCAACCAGATGTGTAGCATCCACGTCTAGCATCCAGGTTCTATTGAACGCATCCCCCCAACCCTTGCTGTTTTCTCCACGAGCTGGAATCATAGGTGTCCATTTTAGGTTGGTTTGCATAGATGGCACTGGTTTAGGTTGGCTTTATTCCATTCACCAGGGCCATCGATTTTTCCCAAAGGCCATCTATGGCTGGAAGAGTCGCTTCGTCGCCTTTTTGTTTCTCCGACCGGTAATGTGACAAAAGGCCCCCAACAGCAAACCGGGTAGATGAAGGTTAGTAAGGGGCAGTCCCAGCTGGAAATAGTTGCGGCCGCCTTTCTAATTCTTTACATGGTTCTGGGTTCACCATTTTTGTACCAGGTTTTTTGATTGTGACTCATTTTGTCACTGGCTCAAACCCCGGGTAGATGGTTAAGGGACACTCCCCTTGCCATAAATAGCTCCGGAGATCCGCCTTATGTTTGATCGGTATTATTAGGCTTATTCATGTTTGGCTTAACTTGATGAAAGATAGTGTAAAATTGACATGACTTTATTGAATTATAATTCTACTTTTACTAATTCTACTAGTTTACTACCTCATTTTACTATTTTTATCGAATTCTACTTCTTAACAGGTATAGCCTTTTTCTTCTTTGTCTCCGAGTTCTTCCTTTTAATTCTTGATTTGCATTTTTTTCTGCGGCTCGACTTCCCTTCACGTCCCTTGCTGTCCCCGAACCCCGCCCCCGCCAGCCAAAGCGCTCGCGAACCGGTTCCTTGAGGTCCGCCTTCGCGGCGGCGGATCTGCTGCTGCTGGCCTGGGGCGCCGCGGGCGTCGAGGACCTGCCGCTGCGTCGGCGCCTGGGGGAGGCGGGCTGCGGGGGCTGCGGGGCCACGTTGGACGGGCCGGATGGGGCGGATTTCTGTTTCATAGGCAAATCACTATCTTTATTTGTTGCTTCGTTTTTTTTTTTGGTGGATGTTGAAGTAAACCTGTCTGTTCTGTTTCTCCTCCACAATCTGGTTTCTCTTCCGGAGTTCTCTACAGAAACCAAGGGGTTCAAATCCAAATCCAAACCAATCCACACCACCAGCCTGACGGGCGTCCTCATCAACAGGTTTCCTTCTCTTCAAAAACCTGAGGAGCTTCAGCATCCAAATGTCCCCGAGGTGCCATGATTTTCATGGGCAAGTTGAACCCCCAAACATACCTCCAAAAAAAACAAAAACACCTGCATCATCCAAAGGTCCCCCAAGTTGCCCTTCATTAAATACCTAGAACTCCCCTTCACTTCAAAAAAGCCGAAGGAATTTCATCATTGTCCCAACCCTAGGGGTCCCCTTCACAAAAGCCTGGTTGGGTTGGTGGTTGGCTATCAACTTTTGGCGGATCTGATCTGAGCCCAGCGAAGTAGAACCCGTCCTATTTTTTCAGGGTGTCGGGCCCCACACAAAGCTGAAGGATGCCCAGTAGAAGGATGTGTCTGTTTTTTGGTTGGGCGCTTAAGGGAACCCGAAAGAAGACCCGTAATGTGTTGGGTTCCCCGAAGTTGTTAGACAGCCCCACGAAGGATTACTCTGGACTTGTGTCTGGGTATGACGAGAATGGTGCAGAAGATGATGAAGAACCATAAAGGGTTGTCTGCCCTAGCCCAACGAGCGTTGGGGCGCGGCATTGCATCGCATGCGATGCAATGCTCAGCTTCCCTTGATTTGGTGGTTAGCCAAAATTAGGCTTGGTCCAAAATCATCTTGTTTTAGAACTCCCCCAAAATCAGCCAACCTCCAGCTAGTGCTTTGGAGCCCGGTCGTTTGGTGGCTTTGGAGCCCGCAGTTTCCCAATCACCCTTTGCAGGAACCAGGTACCCGTTCAATTCCACACATCAAGCACCAACCCAAACCACCAATTACGGGGTACCCCATATGGCTCTGGGTCAAAACCCTGTACCCCTGGTGAACATCACAATAGGTGGTACATGGGTGTTCATCCGCCCCAAAATGGAGGCATAGGTTCTGCATGGGCCATATGTGTCTTGGTTCTTCCGCCGTGGGCTGCACGCGGGGTAACTTCCTAGGAGGCCGCGCGCCGGCTGCAGCGCTGGGCGCCGAAGTCCAAGCCGCCAGAGGCGGCGCAGGAGGCGGAGGAGCGGGCTCTGTCGCCTGACCTGTGGATGGACGAAATCCATTTCGCACCACCTAAGAAACCCTGGAAGGATTCGATTCCCCTGTAAATACCCATAAACAACGGTTTCAACCATGGATTCCAAGTGGTGCGAAATGGATTTCGCCGGGCTTTTCAAAATCCAAATCGGTTAGTCCCCAGTGACCATCCGATTCAATCCAACCACTAGAATAGACTAAAATGGGTGGTGCCCCTACCTCAAAATGGTACCATTGGTTTTGACCCACAGCCAGAAACACCGCCTTTTCTTGCAATTGGGGTAGGGATTTTGGACCGCCGCCTGTAAGGGATCAATCCCGCAGGGATGATCGCCTTAATGTTGACTCAGCATGAATAAACCCGTCCCATTATTAGGGGTGTTCCCTCCAAAAGTGGTCTGAATCCAATCCCACTAAAAGGACTTGGACACCCCCTATTTCTCAACCAGGGGTTTGTTCATCCGGGGTTAACATGAACGACCACAGGTGTCCCTTATAGACTTATAGCTCAGTTTGAGCATAGATGGATTCCACTGGTTTCAGCTCGGTCTGGTGAGCCGTCTTTCCAAAAGAAGGGTTTTTTGTCTCGGGTCTGGTTGTGAGGCTTCAAGTCCGGAGAAATAGTTTCTTTCCCACGCGCGGCGTGGGGGGGAGGTGTCCAGCACCTTGCCAGTGAGCATGCGCTTGATCCGCCCAGTGTTGCATGTGCACTTCATTTCTGAAGCCAGGAAAAGAGGAATGAGTCATCAAGACCGGAATGCCAAGGTTTTTTTTTTTTTTTTTTTTTTTTTTTTTTTTTTTTTTAATTTTGACATACTTATATATATACATACATGGTTTAGCATATACTGGACACGACTTATGACTCGGACGTTGCGCCTCTGAGTTGAGCTGGAGCTGTGGACATAAGGTTTCCTATTCAGGGAACCATGACCACGGCCACAATCCATTTTGCTCCTAGTTTTGCGGCTGTCACAGATCGCCTGCGCACGGTTTGTAGGATGTTCACGAGAAACAACCCAGAGGCTCCGCCCGAAACATGATACCTCACGCTTTTTGAAACCAGCCATGAAGGCTCGCCGGTTTGTTGTGGGAATCTTTCATTCTTGCGGGTTGGGGTACAGGAGAATCTTGCAGGCGAGCTTTTGTGGGGATGTGTCAAAATAGGTCCCAGTACTGCCCTTTTGCTCTTTTTTGGGGGAGGGTTCCCCTACCCCGTACTAAAACAGACAAAACCGAAAAAAATGGGAACCCTTCTTCTACCCTCTTTACTGGAGGACCTCGTCAAAATAGGAGGAGCCGTGGTTCCCTTTTGGTTTCCCTTCCGAGGGGTGAAACGTCACTTTCAAGTCTGGGCGATGCCCAGGCGGCCCCAGGTGTTAGTTGGTTTAGTGATTTGGTTCCACAAGTTGTCCAGGAAACGGACAGCCCAGAGCCACAACATGCACATAGATAAAAGACACAGCAGGACTACCACAGCAAAAAGAACCCCCAGTTGTTTGTTTCTTGTTTTGGGTTTGGACCATTTTTAGCTGCTTTTTAGGCCAATCCATTCAAGGAGTGAGAGCACCTCTTGGGCAAATGTTGGCAGAACTAAGCTTTGTGCGGTGATGTTTGAAGAGGCATGTAAGGAGCTCTGTTATTGTTGTTGTTTATTTCCTTTTGTAGAAACTTTGAAACATCTTTCTCCACACACAATTGACATTTTCTTTCCGTCCTTCATTTAATAGTCGGCGCCGGTTTCTACTGCATGTAGGCATCGTATGCAAACGACGCATAAGGTCTTTCGAGGTTACTCTTTTCGGCTGGTGTTTGCGCGAAACCAAAGAACAGCCACAGTTTTTGGGGTCCAATGTTGACGAGCCATACCCAACGGACACATTCAAGATTCTGGATTTAATGGCTCGTTGCCAACCAGAAGAGGTCGTTGAACCCGGTATGGGGTCGTTGTGGCCCAATTGGCAACATGCTTCAGGTGTTTCTTATGTGTCAAGGGTAGCCTGTATTTAACTATCTTAAGCGGTTTGTTCTCCCTCGGTTATCCACCGCAAAGGACAGGTAGGGTCCAAAACCCCAACGGGTCACGAAAGGATTTGGTCCCGAAATGGGTTTTAGGAAAGGATTTGGTCCCCCTCTTCTTTTTTTGGTGGAATTGGCTGACGCTCCGTTTTGAACAGCCCAGTTGCATCATTCAACCCCATAGCTGCGACCCACAATGTTCTTTTTTTCGGTCGACCGATCAGCCGAAGTTTCTGGGAGCCGAACCTCAGGAGATGCTGGGCATGGCGCCTCGGGATGGATGAGCTTCGGGGGAGGGCAATGGGCTCGGCTTATTTTTTAGGCGAGCTTTGTTTAGGGGGGGTATAGCAAGGAGGCCTCACCATGGTTTCAGGATCCCGAAATGCTCTGGGATTTGTTTTTGTTCATTTTGTTGGAATTATGGTTCAAGAATTGCAGAATTGGCGCCATGGAGTCAAAATGTTTTGCAGTCTCGAAAAACGCCCTAAAGTAGGTGCTCAAAAAATGGTCCTGGGCCAAATGTGATTTTGGGATCCTTCATGGCCGAGTGTCAAGCTCCCAGTTTCCTTGCTGAAGCCCAAAGGAGACCAAGGGACAGCCCGCTGCCATAGCGGCCGGTCTAAGTTTTGATATGGTTTTGGGTAGACTCTGCGAATACCAGAGTTTTGACTACAAATAGCCAAAAGGCAGGCAAAAGGTCAAAAAATCCTGATTTTCGGGTGTCTCTTACCGCGTCTCTTGTTGTCAGATTGGGCCAAAGCCAAGTGGCTGTGGGTCAAAACCAATGGGATGCCATTTTGGGGTAGGCGAATTCACCACCCACTTTCGAACCGATTTTAGTGGTTGGATTGGCATGTTCACTGAGGATACGGGCCTTGGATTTTGACCCATGGCCAACTAGGTCCCCCAAGAAGGGCCCTTTTACCATTTTTTTGGGGGGAGGGCAAACCCCTACTAAAATAGACCAAACAGAAAAAAAGTTGGTGCCAACTTATTCTAAAATTCGCAGATCTGGAGGACTTTGGGGGGTCGATCAATATTCCTGGCCCTGGATTGACCATGGGTAGCCTCTCGTACCAAAGCTCGTTGCCTCATTTCATTGTTTTGGGGAGTTCAGATCTGGAGGACGCTAAGTAGAGGAGTGTCTTCGCGACCTCCGGCTGCACGCCTCGAGGTCTTCGCCTGCCAAGATGTCGCGCCGGGACTGGAAGATGCGGCCAGAGGCGCCATGCGCAGGCGAAGGGATGGGAGGCCGTGGGCTGTGGGGCGGTGCCTTTGGGCTGTTGTTCGTGTTCTTTTTTTTTTTGGCGGGCGGGAGTCTGGGCTTTGAGAATATTTGTTTAGTTTTTTTAGGTATGGGGGTATAGGTTTTTCGGGAGAGATATATTTTTAAAGGTTCTTGATGAGGGGGGGGGATGGTTTGAAAGGGAAAGCAAGTGAGTTGATGCTCAAACGCTCTCTTTTTTGATTGGCTCGAGGGGATCTGGACTTCTGGAAGCACCACTCCTCGATTGGCTTGGCATGAAGAAACCCCGTGGGCTTGGGGCGTCGACTCCTGCTGCGGCATTCCCGGCGATTTTTCCCGGCCACAAACCAAAAAAGCGAGGGCCAAGAGGTCGAAGCGAGACATGGGGGTCAAAACAGGGCTTTGCAACCATTTGAAACATGGCTTTTTCCACCGAAACAAAGGGAAACCACCATTTGACAAGGCAATGTTCAGGTGTATAATGTAAGGATCCCTGCAAAAGTAAAGAGCTAGGGGCAAACCGCAGGTTTTAGTCTTTGGCTCTATTTACCAAGGTGCCATTTTGGTTCATGCTTCTCACCCACAGCCATATGTGTTTTCTTCCCCGTTCATCTCTTGTCCCTACCTCTATTGGGTTAGATCTTTAGACTTTAACTTTCTGGATTCCCTTCACATTTCAAACTTTTTGCCAGGGGATCTACAGCACCCAAGTTGAATTCTCCTTCGTTTTGGCAGTTCATTCATTTCTTGTTTTTCAGTATCCCATCTCTTACTACTTCCTTTTTTCATTTCTCTTTCATTCACATGATTAGTAATCAAGGATGGATTTCACTTCTTTCTGAGATCAAAAGGAGTTTATTCTGGCTAGCTATTACTTTGAGGCATGTCTTCATCAAGGAGTTTCCAGTCCATATCTTCTCAATCTTGAGTTTTCTGTAAGGTTGAGGTAGGAAACAGGAAAGTGACCGTGAGATCAACGACGAAGCCCATTCCAGATGAAGAAGTCAAGTCCTTGGCAACAGCCTGGCGTGAATCGACTTCTTCTTTTTTTGTCCTTTCCTTTCATCTCATTCTCCTGCCTATTTGCTCATTTGGTGAGTGAGGAAAAGGATGAAAGCCTTGACATGTCATCCCATCTTGTCTACCAGAGATGGGTGAATCGGATGTAGGAATGTGATCAGCAGTTTATTCCCTCACTTCACTCACTCATTTCCCTTTCATTTGCACATGTTGGATCCCTTGACACCTCTTCCATCTTGATCTCTCATCCCAGCCCCCACCATCAATTTAGACATCATAAGGCGTGAAGGGACGAGGGAGAGATAAAGAGATAAAGAGATAAAGAGAGGGACAGTGACCCGAACAAAACCATCCCCCATGGTTTCCTTCAAGGAAATCCCGATTCATTCCTAAAACTACTGAGTACCAGCAAGTCAATCATCCTGTCTGTCATCATAGGTTTCCATCACCTGGGCATGATCACTCCATTCTATTTCATTGTATTTCTTCACCTTAATAGATCCTAAAGTCAAAGATGAGCTAGAATGAAGCAATGGGACACATCATATAACTCATTTTCCGAAGCCAGGATTTCTACCGCAGAAATCCTCAATCATATGCTGTGTCAGGTGAGTTTCATGGATTATTTTCTCTCTCTCTCTCCCTGCCTAACAAAAGCGAAAGGAAGAGGGCCATGGATTGGCCCATCACTGAAATCAGATGGGCCCGCCTCTTTTTTAGGATGGAACCCGTCTTTTTTGGTTGTTTTAGAGGAAAAGAAGAGCCCATATTAGATCTGCCACAGGAACGAAGAGAGTGGACGGGTAGACGCATCAAATAGGCAAGAGATAGAGATGGGTGAACGAGTGCAGGAGAGAGGCATCTCATTTCTTCTCTCCTCTCTATCCCTTACACACTTCCATGAAGTAGATAGTAAGATGGAAAGGGGAAGGGGAGCGAGAGAGAGAGAGAGAGCTGTTATTTCTTACATCATTTCCCATCTCTCAACCTCTTCCTTGTCATCCTTTTTTATATGAGTCCTGATTCAACGGACGCCACTTCCAGCCGGGCGCAACTGTTTGGCGGACCCGATTTTTGGGGCTGCAGTTGCGATCAAGGAATTCCCACAAAAATCATTGTTTGGTTCTTTTTCAACCCCCCCAAAAAAGGGGTCCAGGTTCATTTGCAAGTGTTAAAAAATATCAGCTTTGTAAGACTAAAGTCAGACCCCAAGCCTGGGTTCATTCAACCACATTCCCTGAAGGTTTTGAGGGTAAAAATGAAGTCTCTTAAGTCTGCACGCAGCTTCCCACGTTGATTGGGTGGTTTGGAGTATCCTCCACAAGAACCAGAGGTTCAAATCCCCAAACCACTAATTGGGTGGTTCCTGCTATACTCCGCTACAAACTAGCATTGCCTAAAAGGGGGTCCATTTCCCAAAAGGGGCTCGCATCAACCCTCCCCGAGAGTTCCACATCCCAATGGAAGCTGAACCCATCTGAAATGGTCGATTGCCAACCGCTACAACAGTGCCTTTTTCTTGCAGAAGTGTGGTACGCGAGGAAAGTCTCGTCTCAGTTCAAAGGAACCACCCGATTTTTCTTTTGGTCATTCCGTTTCTCAGGGCCCCGAAACCATCTCTCGCATCGATCGCGCGCTTTCCGACGGCGTTTTTAGGCTGGGCGACATGCTGGACGGACAGGCCGGGACCTATCGGGTTTTCCGCGCAGCTGGGCTGAGGGGCCGAGGGGTTGGCATAGCTCTCGCGCGCCAGAACCAACTCGCCGAGTTGGGGTTGGGTGGCTCTTGGGGCTAAACAAATGGGGGAGTTGTTTTTTGGTTGGGAAGGCATGTGTATTGTTTTTTTACGCTTACCCAGACATGGGGTTTATGGCTTATAGCCAGGCAAAGGAATGATGTTATCATTTCCCCAGAAGGAAGCCATGCTGGTCGAACCAAAAGCCAATATAAGGGAAACAGGAACCTCAGGTATGGGTTGCCTGCTGCTTTTTTGGCCTGGGTTCTCCCAGGTGTTCAACACGGGGATTCTTTTTGACTCAAGGGTTCGTCTCAAAACAGGAATCGGACTCCCCCCCCTTCTATTCGTTTAAAAAAAAAGAAAAAGAAACAAAAAGACAAATACCCCCCCCCCCCCCTCCATTTTTTAAACATAAATAGAGTGGTTTCCTTTTTGGCTTTCCTCCTAAACCACCCCAAGCAGGGTTACCTGCAAAACAAGAATCACACCTCTCTGGGCCAAGAGGAACGCGAGATTGCTATGGTGCCTTCTGTTTTTGTGGAAAGGGTCAAGAATTGGGTGTGTCTCAACTAGGTATTTCAGTGGTGCGTCCCCCAGTGCCCTTTTAGTCACCCCTTTTTTGGGCAAGGGAGGGCAAGCCCCTAAACTAGACGGCAGACAGAAGAAACGGTACCAACTTATTCCAACCTCTCCAGTCTGGAGGAGGGCAAGCCGCTAAAATAGACGGCAGAAAAAAGTTGGTACCCGTGCTCCAACCTCTCAAATCTGGAGGACCTAGTCATTGTTTCCATTCACCAGGGTTCCATTTTGGGTGAGGTGTCAATGAAAGCTGCGTTGAACGCGAGAAATGGCCCTGAGGCAGTATTCTAGCCTCTCAAGTCGGGAGGACCCAGTAGGGAATTTTGAAAGGGCACCTTCCAGGGTGTTTCGCGCCGAGAACTCTCGGGGTGGTCGCTCCGGAGGCGCGGGGATCCGCGCCCGGGCAGGCGCAACTCCCAGAAGCGAGCGAGCGAGAAAGGGGGGCGGAGGGGGGGGTTGGAAGCCGGGGGGGAGGGGGGGGGGGAGTATTTTTTTTCCCTCAACATAGACAGAATCGCTTTTTGAGCTTTCAGCTTTTTACTTGATTGCTTTGCTTGTTGCTTTTACTTGGAGAGATATTTTTTCGCTTTTTGCGTTTTACTCGAAGCCCTGGGTGGGTGTCCCTTTGGTTTCCCGTGAAAAGACCAAAACTCGACTTGTCGCCTCCGAAAAGGCCAAAAGACCCCGTTGGTTCGAAGACGGATCACCGATGGGGTCGACATCAGTCCGCCGGACCAGCTGATGGGTGGCTCCGGATACCTGGATGTGTGTGTGTGTGTGGATATGTATATATATATATATAGGTATACATATATTTCCCTCCCCCCCCCCCCCATTGGGGCCCCCTGAAATATGCAAAAGTAGAGGACAACTGAAAGGTGGTGGAGATGGATCCCCAATGTTTACCAAAGCGCCCATTAAAGAATCACATCCAAACGGGGCCAGATTCAGAAGATACCATTCCGGCCTGTCCTTTTTCAAGGAACCACCATGGCTTCGGTGAAACCAACCAAAAAGGGGGTAATTGTCAAACAAGGCAGCCCCGATTTGCCCAGAAAAATTGAGGACCTTTGAAAAAGATTGACCCCCAACAAAAAATTGGGGTGGCTGCCATTTTATGGTTTTTCCTTTTAAACCAAATTGCGGACCCCCAACAAAAGTTGGGTTTCCCATTGTATTGTCCCTTTTGAAACCAACGCCAAGGGGTACCAACCTTGTGAACCAGAAGCCACGTGAAAACTGGGTTCGAGGCCAGCCCATGGCTTGGCTCGCGCCTGGAACGCCTCAGCTTGCGCCTCGAAAGCGAACCCGTGCTGCTTGGCGAGGTACACTGGGGGAGGTGGGGGAGGTGGGGGAGGTGGGGGAGGTGGGGGAGGTGGGGGAGGTGGGGGAGGTGGGTGGGGATGGCTGGGGGTGGCTGGGGGTGGCTGGGGGTGGCTGGGGGTGGGTGGGGGTGGGGTTTTTGAGGTTTGGGTTGGTGGGGGGTTTGGGGTTTGGGGTTTGGGGTTTGGGGTTTGGGGTTTGGGGTTTGGGTTGGCAATGCAGACCACCAGAAAATCGATGAACTTAAGGAGAAATCCAGTGAATTTTGAAGGCTCGTTGCTCTAAGGAGCATGGATCTTTGGCGAAGGGTTTCTGTCGTCCGCTTGGAATCGGCTTCAAATGACCTTCAGATGTGAGGAGGACAGCCCAGGCACAGATTCCTTGGCCATCGAATAAGCTCAATCCGCCGGATCCCCTTCTAGCCCGGCTGTGCTTGGTTTTCCCACAAGTGGTGTTTTAAACGGACGGATTGGGAGGCATCATGCAACCTGTTGAACGGCTTTCTGGCGCATGGATTGGCCCACCCCACCTTTCGGGCGTCAAAAAGGTCCCAGTTCGAGACGTAGCGCTTGCCTTTTCAAGCTCAGTTTTTTCCTTCTAGTAAATACGTTCTTGTTTTTCAGCAACATGTGACACGTTGACCCCAGATTGATAAGCCCATCCTACTAGTAGGGGGCTGTATCTCACTAAACCCAGGGGTACCCCCTATTAATACATAGGGGTTTATTAATCTGGAGTCAACATGATATTGTTTTGGCAGAGGTCAAAGTCGGATCCTTTTGCGTGGGTGCCAAACATAGTGGCCATGATTTTTAATAGGGAGCCAACTCAAAGGTGGTTGGTGGACATGAACCCACCGAACTTGGTGGCTCCCAGTCGGCCCCATAGTTTTTTACTTTTTTGGTTGGTGTAGTGGTAAGGCAATGGTATGGAGTAACGGTTAGTTGCTCGGACAGTATAAGGCCTGGTCGCACCACCCAAGTTGAGCAGGTACCACCGGGACCGCTCAAGCCGTCCCGTGGTAAACCTCAAAACCGTGCGACTGGTTGGTTTAGTGGCTGAATTTCTGAAAACTCACAAGTTAGTCACTTGCAGCAGGGGAGCTGAAAACGAGCAGCGAGCAGCCCGGCAAATTCCGATCTCCGGCATTCCGGCTCCCGGGAAAAAATGGCGCCAAAGAGATTTTCTTGCCGGTGCGATAAGTAGGGACTGAGGCGTTCCCGAAGAAAGGAAGCCACCGGTTGGATGGTTTTTTCTCGGGGTCATTCCATTTCTCATTCTTTGCCTCAGACCAGCTTGACGGACTTGCAGGACTCCCTCTGCGGCCGAGAATCCCCTCAAGCAAACGGAGGAACAAACGGCGGCAGAAGTAAAGAACCTCCAGTCACGTGCCTCAAGCTTCGCCCCAAACTTTTTTTTTTTTTGTTGCGAGTAGAAGGCTCCCCCCCAAACATGTCCACGCTTTCCTTTGGTTGACCACACAAAAAAGGGGGGGGGGTGCCCTCCACAAAAGAAAAGACGAGGCGCCTTTGGTGTGTCACTTCTTTCAAGTCGTCTGATCCGTCGGGCCACCCGGCGGCGCCAAGCCGCCGAGGTTGCGCGTGGCGGGGGAGCTGGCGCTGGTGCTGAAGCCCGCGGGATGGGAGACCTGCGGAAAGCACAGCCTGCGGCAGCTGCCGAGGCACCTGGAGGCGGGGCTTCGGGAAGGTCGTCCCGTCGGCAGTGGCGGGTTTGGGGGTTTGGGGGCCTCGCTGTAAAACCCACAAGGCAAGGGGAACCCAAGTGCAACAAAAAGCATCAACATTTATTGGGGAATTCCGTCGACAGGTGTTTTTCCGTCGAAGTTTTTTGTTTCTTCTCCAGTTTGGGTCACCAATGGTTCCTGTTTTGTAGTTCGCGTGCTTCCTAGGTTTGCTTTGGGGTTAAGAAAGTGACACGGGTGTGGTTTCCTCTGGATTCCCTGCAGCAAACCAGACCCTTGTGCCAGGGATTCCGGGTTGACTTGGAAAATCCATGTATATGACGGGTGAGTGGGTGAGAACCAGAGTTGCGGCAGTAGCTTGGGAAGCAGTTTACCTCTGGAAGATTGGGGAATCGGGGAGGACCTAGGTGAGTAAGTTTCTGGGCTGTGCAACGCTCTAGCATGAAGTGTCCTTTGTTGCCACTGCTGAATGGGTCATTGCTTGATGGTGCTTTCATTCTGTTCTTCCACAGGTCCTTCCATGACTAATAACTGGGGGGGGGGGGATTGATGCAGGGTCAGCGTGAGTGGGGTGTTCTATGTTGAATCCGGGGCTTTCTCAACACAGGCGTCGACCTGTTTGCTTTTCGAGCCCAAGCTTGAAGAACACCGCAATCCATAGTCCACATTGTTCCATTCTTTAGAGCTCGCTCTTTCCTTGATCGCATATGGTCGTGGCCACCCATGGATTCCCTGAAGAAGCGCTCAATCAACTACCCTCCCACCTAACATGGGTTAGCGCACAAGGGCACCCATGGATTCCCTAAAGACTGCAAATCAACTACCCTACCCCTCCCACCAACTAACATGGAAGCGAAAGCGCCTTTCCACGAGGCAACGTAGTCTTTCTACCGAGGTCTGTGCAATGCCATGTTCGCTGGGAGGGTAGCCGCAACGTCTTTGACTTGCCCGGTGTCTTCATACTCGGAGTACTAGGTGTTTCCCCAGCTGAAAGCTTTGGGGTCGATAGGCCCAAATGGGTCTGTCATTTTTGGAGGGTACCATTTGTTTGGGTTGGTTCATGAGGGAAACCAAAGGAACACCTATGTGTGGATTTCTGTGCTATTTTACACATACCCAAAAAAGCTCCGGAGTGGTTCGCTTTCAGGTTTCATTAGAAGGGTTGCAGGGGGCAGTCAGTCATGCGGGATGTCTTTTTAAGGAATCGGAAACCCCAAGATGGCGCAGCGGTTATCCTGTTTGTTTTCCTCTAATTACGAAAAATGCTCCCCTCAAAGAAGAGACGCAACAAACAACAGGCTTTCAAAAGAACAGCCGAGCACACCCACGTTCTTTTTTGGTGGGATCCTTTGCGTTTTCCTTTTCTTTCAACCAAAACAAGTTAGGCTTCCGGCAAACCAAGACGGTCTGGGACTCCCCATGGATTCGCTTCTTAGGCATAGGTGTCCTTTTTAGGTTTGATTAAACATAGATGGCACTGGTTTAGGTAGGGTTTCTTCCATTTACAAGGGAAACCCATCGATTTTTCCAAACGGCCACCTATGGAAATGAGGTGTTGGCCGCACCCTTCAAACTTGAAGCCACCAGTTCGGCTTTCCACCGAAAAGCGAAAGAAACGGCTTACCGCAAACAACGACGTATGGCTGGAATTTCCGTCGTCTTGTCGCCTTTTTGAAGTCTTTTCCGAGCGGTGATGTGACAAAAGGCCCCAAGCAGCAAACCCCTGGGGTGCATTGCCGTTCTCGGTGGATTCGCTTCTCAGGCGTCCGGGCTGAAGCTTCTGCCGGAGTCCCTGCAGCACGGGTTCCTGCACCGACTGGACGTGCCCAGCAGCGGGCTGCTGTTCTGCGGGCTGAGCCACAAGGATCGACGGATCGCCGAAAACCTGAAAGCCCCAAAGCAAGCGAGCCACGTCCTCAGGGCCCCATCAGAGCCTCATCAGAGCCCCAGGGCAAAAAGCTGAAAAACCCTTCGTTTACAGACTCTTTTTTTCTACGCCACTGGTAGGAACCTCGGTCTTCGGGTAGATGAAGGTTAGTAAGGGATATGGGTCTGGGTCAAAATCAAAGCACCAGGATATGGACCGCAGGTTAAAGCGTCCATGTTTCCAGTTCCCGGGGCAACCCATTTTGGGGTTACCCTATTGTTGACCCACACCCCCACGTCCTCAAAACCGTTTTCTTCGGGTAGATGAAAGTCAGTAAGGGACATCCCCTTGCCAGAAATGGGCGCCTGAAGGCCGCCGGTTTTGAATCCTTCCATTTCAATACCAGGTTTGGATTCTGACTCAGGTGCTGAAAGCCGCCGGCGAAGGTGGCAAAAGGAGATATCATGATATTATTTTCTGCGGTTGGGTCAACCAAGTGCTCAAACGTGTTGAAAAACCCCGGAATACTCAGATGTTCCAATAACTTACCTTTTTGAGTTGGTACTCTTTGTTTCTTTCAAGGGAGACGTCACAAGGAAAACCCCGAACACCGCCATTTGTTTCATCTTTCTTTCTTTCTTTCTTTGGGGGGGTGGGTTGCTCCTGTCTTTTGGGGGTCCCGGGTCCGTTTTGTCGTCTCCCCTCCCCCCCAGAAAAAAGAAAAAAGCGACACGAAGACCGACGCCGAGCGGAGCTCGCTCGCGCCGCTCGCGCCGCCGCTGGCGCCAGGCCTTCTACGAGTTGAAGCTGCTGCTGGCGGTGGGGCGGGTGGGCCGGGAGTACCTGGTGCTGTGCCACGGGCTGCTTGCGCCCCAGCGCCTGGAGGCGGCGGTGCACTGGAAGGAGCCTTGCAGTTGAGGGGGCGGGGGAGGGGGCGGCTGTGGGGTTCCGGGGCACCATGAAACCAAGGCAGGAGGGGGGGTGAAGGGGGGCTGGGTGGGTTAAGGGGGGGAATCAGCCCACACGCTGTCTCCACAATCTGCCAGCACTTTTCGGCGGAAGCGGGAAGCGTGCTTTCTCATGTGACTACACTCTAGTTCCTTCCCAACGCACTGTCTGAGCTTTGCTCTTGGAGAACTTGGCATCTTGGCATCCCGCCCTTTTTCAACCTGTTTTTTTGTGTGGGGGGGGGGGGGGGGGTGCGGGGCAGGGTTTCCCTTTCAACTCAAGCAACCAAACGAGGGTGCATCCTTCCTTTCCCATGGAAATCCACTAGGCATCTGAAAAGATGATAGGTCATGTGCGATCAAATTCAGCATCCAATCGCAGTGGGAAGTTGGATCAAGCCTGTGTCGTAGATCCCTTCCTCATGGGAAGCTCGGCGTCTCGCCCATCGCTCTCGTTTGCAAACCTCAACCATGTTGTGCGCTGTGATCGAGAGTCGTGCTTGGGAATCCTTTCTTCATGGGTGAAGATGGCAAGGACGAAGCCCTGCGTGACGCAGTTTGTGATGCCTTTGCCGAACTTTTGACTGTGGTCCACAACTGGGATGGGGAGGCTTCCGCGCAACTACCAGTTCACGAGATCGGGCTGCGGTATGGGGTGCCTCTGGCTCCAAAGCGCAAAATGGCCACCGTGCAAGAGTTCCAAGCTGCCTTGCGCTCCCTCGCGTCGCGAGCTCGCGCGGGGGAGCAGCTCACTCTGCTCTGTTGGTGTCACCCTCGTCGATGCCATACACATGAGATCAGTGCTGTTCTGGAGCAGTGGTGAAGCTCAAGCACGACACATGCTGCTCATTTTGTGCAACAACTGGCGCTTGAATGCTGTGCTGCTGCATCTGCAAAGAAGTCCAAGCGAGTTCTTTCAGAGGCTGCAAGGAGCATCTCGACACCAGTCCGCAGCAGATGAGTTCGTCCGTGGTGCAAGGGATCGGTTTCCGTTTGCTACCTGTGAAATGGGTTCTCAGGAAGTCTGGTGTTGGCACCGTATATTGGAAGCGAATGGTAGTGGTTTCCCTGTGGACCAACCGATGTCACAGACGATGTTGCTTTTCCTTCAGAGTTCCGGTTGTAATGTTTCGACGCACATCCCTTGGTGAATCATGCTGTGGATGGGTCCACGAACTCCATTTCGCCCCACGAAATGAAACCATGGTTGAAGAGGTGGCGCGCCCCTCTGAGCGGCTACCTTCTTTGGCTTGAGAAACCAAAAGAATACTCTGGGGGTTTGTGGGTATTCACGCCTTTGGAATCGAATATCATGCGCTCGGTTTCTGAGCGGTGCGAACGGATGTCGCCACCATCCACAGAAAAAAAGGCCGGGAGTTTTGAAGCGCCTCTTCAGGAGCCCAAGAAGCGAGCAGGCCCCAATCAGCCAGATTAACTCGTCACACGGAGTTGGTTCAGAAGGCCAGGCGCTGAAGATCATAGCCTTGCACTTTTTACCAGGGCCAAGTTTTCTTTTTCCCGCAAGAGGACCTGCGGCCAGAATTTTTGGTCTCTTTCTGGAGGGTCACCATCTGTTATCTGCCTGGGCAAAGAATTTGCATTTCGCCCATATCAACGGGGATGACCAAAACTTCGCCGGCCTGTTGGACTTGCTCTTCTCAGGGGGAGGCCGCACCCTCTCCCTCCAACCGGCCCAAACCCCCGAACCTGCCAACCCCTCCACCTCTCCAGCGCTTCCCCCCGTTCGGGGGCCTGCAAATACATGAGCCTCTGGCCAGCCCCCCGTCTCCCGGGTTTCAGATCGCGCCCCCGCGACGGCCCGAGGACGCCGGAGGCGCCCCCACCCGCTGCGGCCGCGGGAAGCCGAGCCTTACGCGGCTCCGAGAGGCCGCCCACGGCTTTTTGCAGGGCGAGGCGGGCAGACAAACGGCCGTCGACGCAGGGACGCTCGGATTCCCAGTGGGTGGCTCTTTGTGTCGTGTTTTCCTCTAGATTTTCTTGAGGGTGGAAACCACCCCCTGGAAACAAGTTGTTGTTTGGTTGTTCTAGCTGTTTGCTCTACACTTCTGTTTTGGAGGTGGGACAACTTTCTTGAAGCACAACTGCCGAAAAGCGGGCGCCAAATCTTGTTTCCTATGGAGATCTACTGGAGGTCTGGGTATGATTAGAGGGGTTAGAGGGTCCTTGTATAGCGGGGATTGCTTTCTTCCAGGGAGAACCCCCCAACAACAACTTGCAGGTTATTCATCAGGGGTCAACGATATTTAATACTTCCTCCCAATTGAGCAGTGCCCAAAACCCCAAAACCCGTTTTGGCATTTCAGCAGGCAGTTCTACCACCTGGTCTTGCGGTGGGTATAGCAAGGCCAATACGAACCTTTATGGCCATGTTAGGTTTTGTGTACTCAATTGAAAGGTGGCTTGGGCTCAGTTCTAATTCGAGACTGGGCCGGAAATGGGTGTACAGCTATCAAGGTCTTTGTTACCCGCTTTGCAGAATCAGGCCTTGGTTTGGGAAGCCTAAATACCGTCTTGCGACTCGTGCAAGAACCGGGTCCTATTTGTGCTTGGGAGGGGCATTTCCTGGAGTTGAATCAACCTCGGGTACGCCAAAGTACTGCAAAGGCCCTAACTAAATTAAGTCACGACCGTGGCAAAGCAATGACAAATTGAGTGTCCTTTTGGCCATAGCCCCATGGGTATGTATGAAAATAGGGGACTCCCTAGTTTCGCGTTCGACTTTTAAGCCAACCCCGAAAAGGCACCCGGACCAAAAAAACACAAGCACACACACACACACACCCATCTTTGTTGCGGGGCCCGGGGACATTTCACGGTTGACCATAGGATGGAAGCGCCTGATTGAAGTGGACCCCTTTAAACCAACCCAAAAGGGTCAGCCTCAAACAAAGGCACCGGCACCTATTTGGGCTTTCCAAGATGGTTTCTACCCCCAAACTATACCGGGACCGAGAGGAAAACAGGTTTTATATTCTCATGTTGAGAACCAGCCTCACTTGTTTTGCCTTCCAAAAAGGATGCATGCGCCTCTCGCTTTCGAAATAGAGTTGAAGGTATGGCAACTTTTTGAGTAAACCATGGGGTGGTTGGAAATGGCCATGTGACTGTTATGGGTATTCTACACAAGTCGGAGATGGTACACTCAAAAACCAATATCCACTAAGGGTAATATCACTTAGTATTGACCCATTCATCACTATCCAACCACTAATGGGCGTATCTTGTTTAGGGGACCCCCCAAAAATGGCTTGGGTATCCCTCTTAGTTTCCCTTCAAAACCCATCAAACAAACAAAAAACAGACTGCACGCGGCGTGGTTTGGGTTGAGAGAAGATAACAGGACGACCTGATCCCATTTTGCTGGGGATGCTATCTGCTTGACATATGGTTCCCTTGGTTCCCTTTGGTTGCCCTGAAAAAACCCTACCAAAAAGAGGTGTCTGGTATTAAAGGATAATATCACTTCGTACCCCGTGAACCACTTAACCCCCCCACACTGTGATGGTTGCGATGCACCGTTCCGGCTCCAAAAAAAGACGAGCCGCCCGAACGGTATTAAAGGACTAATATCACTCCCCCCCCCCCCCCCGCACCCCCATACTCTGGATGGTTGCGAAATCCTGCACCACTTTGGCACCATGCTTAGCACCATGCTTGAAACTTCACTGTTTGTTCTATACGTTGGGGAGTTGAATCATTCCTGCAAGGTGCCCAAGGAAATGAGGATTTCGCAATCATCCACAGTAGGAAACCCCAAGTCTTTGGACCCTTCATGGAATCGCATGAAAAACCGACACCAGCATAGACCCCAGCTACCCTTCTTAGGAGCGAACTGGGCTTGCTGGTGGAACTCCCCCCTTGAACCGGTGGTTTCCTTTCGGGAAAATCCAGGCTCAGTCCATGGCCTCGCCGCTCGCCTCGCGGTCTCCCGTCCAGGCGGTGTCGCTGCTGCTGGTGGCGCTGGGCACGGGGCGGCGGCACCAGATCCGGGCGCATCTGGCCTTCGCCGGCCGCCCGGTGCTGGGGGACGGGAAGTACTGCGCCCAGGCGACCGGAGCTCAACCTCGACGATATGGGGGGCGGCGGCGGGTGGCACGTCGACGCCGATTGAGCGTTTGAGACGCCGACGTTTGGGGGTCAACCGAAACCATCCCCCCCAGCCCCTCTCCCCCCCGGAAAAAGACGGGCGCCAGGGGTGCCAAACACCCTGACTTTCCCATTTTGGGGGCCAACCGACCAAGGGACCGCAGCACCCAAAACCCCCCCATTGGTTGCTACGGGATGCAACCCACCAAGGGATGTCAAACAGATTCTGGGGCTAGCGGTTTGCTAGTGGACATATGGGTCTGAGTTTTAATCGTGGAGACATCATTTCGGTGGTTCCCGAGAGTTCATAGCCACATGTTTAAACCAGGATTGGCTTTAACCACCAGCCGGCGGCCCTATGGAGCCCTGGTGTGAACCCCTAGTTCATGGGTTGTTCTGGCGAAAAGTTGTGGGAAGTTCGCCCCCCACAGCGTCCAAAATGGCCATGGGTTCATACATGAACCCATAGGTGTCCTTTTTGGTTGGTTTGCTCAAAAAATAGAGGGCCCTGGTTTAAATAGGGTTTATTCCATTTACCAGGGCCATCTATTTTTCCAAAAAGCCACCTATGTATGAACCTATACCACCAGCCTTCGACATACAAGCTTCGGCGCCATAGCCCGGTAGCCATCTGTCAGGAGACATACCGCCGGGACGGCCGGTGGTGCACGCAGAACTGCAGCTCAGCTCAACTGGGGGGGACGGACCGACGTGGGTGACTATGGTAACATGGTTGTTGTTGGGAACCATTTTTCCCATTTTTGCTTATTGTGGTTTAGTGGTTGAAATCCCCACTGAACTGCTAAAGTTTAAACTTTTGATACCCTTTCAACGTCAACCAAGGTAAGGGGGCGATCGCCCAGTTACACCAGCTATGTGGTTAACGGTAATCTGCATCATTTAGAGCGAGGCCACCGAGTCGCGAGGTAAAACAGCCATGAGAAAGATGCTTTGGTTGAGGATCCCTTATTTCTAACTAACAACTGCATGGTAGGGGGGGGGGGAAGCAAATGTCTACACGCCAAACCACCAACTAAAGGTTAGCTAAACTTGTGTGACACATGAAATATAGAAATATATACACATATGTGTATGTATATCTATGTATATATATATATACATATTACCCTCCCATTGCGTCATCCTTCGCAGATTCCAGCCAGCCGTTCCGCGGGCCAATGCCCAACTGGTGAACGCCACCCTACCGTGGATGGACGAAATCCATTTCGCACCGCGAAATGAAATGATAACGTTTCTTGGTATTTACGTTGGGGAATCGAATCCTTCCGTTGGGTTTCTTGGTGCGTGAGATGGACCTTGGAATCCCCAGGTTTTACCTGATTCGATAGGCATGACTTGGTCTGAGTTGGCCACATGAAACACATTCAGCATAGAACCCCACGATACTGGAGCTTTCAGCCCTCTGGAAAAAAAACATCTATTTCACCAAAAGGACACCCATTTCACAAAGCACACCCATGCATTTACCAGTTGGAAACCATTTACCTTTGCCAGCCTCCAGAAAACGAAGAAAAAAAACAAAGACTCCAAGTCGGTTGCTTTCCGGCGTTTCCCTTTAAAACCAGCCCCCACTTCAAAAGGAAAATGGTTCAAGCCAGGACAACGTCGAAGGGTTCCGTGTCAATTGGTGGAAAGCGGTTTCGGTTTCCCGGTTCGCCCCATGGGTAGGGGGCTTATCATATTCCCCCCACCCCCCCCAACCCCCCACTCCCCACCCACCCAAACAAGAACACTCAGTTGCCCGAAGGACCCAGAAACAAAAGGTTCACCTTTTGTGGCCACGACCAAAAATGTCAGGTCGGCGTTGGGCAACCGAGACAAAAGTTGCAACCAAACGGCGGCAACACCCACTACAATTAAGTCACAATCAAAATCCGGGATCCACATAGTCTACCCTAAAGAATTAAGAAGGTGGATATCCGCAGCTATTTATGGCAAGGGGATTGTCCCTGACTAGCGTTGCTTCATCTACCCGGGTTTTGAGCACGTGGCTCAATTCGCCTTTTGGGGCATCGGTGTTGCGCGCTGACTTCGACCCGACCCCGAGGATAAAAACTGGGTCCCAAGGAAGCACAAGGACACGAAAAAAGGCCATGAGTCAAAAGCCCGCACCCCCCAGTGAACATCCCAATCCAACCACTAAAATAGGAAGCCTAAAATGGGTGGTGAATTCACCAATCCCAACCAAAATGGGATCCGATCCCAAAACGGTTTTTGACCACCACGGCCAAAAAATGGATTGGTTTTGGACACGGGTGTCAAACAAATTGGTATCCCAAAAATTGGCCTGGACATGGGAGGTGCCACCTGCGGTCCCATGGCTCAACGTTGACCAGGGCTCCCGAGTGATTTCCCCCTAAAACATCACCCCCACCAAAAACTACTCACCTTTCATGGACCAAATTTGTGATGTTTAAAACCACCAAAAAGGGAAATAACTCGGGACCCCTTTTGACCCATAGCCAAAATAGATGGGCTGCACCGGGGTAGAGGGTTTTATTCCACAGTCGTTCACACTCGTGGTGTGGCTTCTCTTTGGGGGAGTTGGAGCACTGTTTTTTCCTTCTGAAGCAGAACACCCAAAAGCCAGCGGACCACTTTCGGATCCCTCTTGACAAACCCACTGGGTGACTTTATGACAGTACCCGTTTGGTTTTCAAAGGAAACCAACAAAAACACTCACTACTCAAAGGCCTGCGGGAGTGGCAAAGTTCGCTCCAACGACTTCGATGTCCTTCATTCAAGTTTCATTTTCAAACATGGTGTCCATTGAAACGATCGCCGCTCCAAACAGGGAAAGGCCTGTTGGAAGCTGCCCTCAAATTGGAAGGTGGACCCCGATTTTCTTGCGGCGGCTAGGCAAAATCTTGGTTGACGTTGGAAGGGGAGCAAAAACTTAAGCGTTAGCAGTTTCGTGGGGATTTCAATCACTCAACCACAACGAGCAAAAATGCAACATGTTTCCCAATAACCACCGTGCAATCCAAAAGCCGCCAACTCCCATGTTCCTAGAAAACTCGCACAGCGTTGCTCCCAACTTCTGGCACATGGGTGCTTTGGATTTGGACTTGAACCTCTGGCTTTTGTAGGTAAATGACAAACCACCCCTTTACCACCAAACCACCAGTCCAAACCAGATGAATTTCAAGACAAAAGCCACCTCCCACTTGAATCCCCGCCGTTAGGGCCCAGTTGAGGCATGTCCCAAACTGACATCGGAATTCGATGACCCATTATGGGGGGGCTGCCTTGCGCAAGGCCCGGGCCGTAAGCATGCAACACGGAACCGTTCGACGTCCGGGCCAGAAAAAGGCCGCAGAAAACAAGCCGCCCTGTTTTTGTTTGTTTGACCTTTACCACTTACCTGTACCATGTATTTTTCCCTTTACCCGTTGGACCCTGCCCAAGCCCCAGCCCGCGAGAGCGCTCGACTCGTCCGGCTGCGAGGCCTGCACCGGCAGCGGCTGCGGCTGCCGGGCCTCGAGGCCACGGCGCCGCTGCCGGCGGAGGGCTGCGGCTTCGGGCGGCTGCTGCAGGCGGCTCGGCGTGTGGGGCGCGGGGGGCGCTGGGCTCGGCGCGTGGGGCGGGGGGGTTTGGGGGGGTTTGGGGCGCTGGACATGGGCAGGTGGTGGCGCCTGAAAATGGGGTGGGGGGGGGGGAAGGGAGGGACCCTGGCAAAAAGAAGCTGGTCTCATTTTTGGGTTTGGATGGAAAAAGAAGGAGCCTGACACACTTTGTGGTGGTCTCCCCTTTGGGTTTGAATCGATTAAGCCAATCCCGACAAAGGGCACCCTCAAACATCTTGTAGAATGAGCGTTGCGTGTAGAATGCGCGTTTTGGGGGGTGGTTGCGCGGGCCGTTGCGGATTGGCTTTGACGGGAACAAGGACAAAGCCCCCCCCCCCGAACGAAGAACGGGTTAAGACTCCAGACGTAGGAACGTGGGAAGAGGATTAACTCGCCATATCTTTTCACCCACCTCCGGCTCGCTCTCTCGCTGCAAAGGAAAGGCCCTGGAATAAAGGCCTTTGTCAATAGAAGACACCTTAAGCTTAGCATAGAATCAGACCGTGGTGTCCTTAAGGGGACCCCACCAAAATGATGGTGTTCCTTGTGGTTTCCCGACAAAACACCAACCATCAAAAGGGGAACCACACCAAACAAAGACGAGCCACCCAATTTGTCTTTGATCGCTGCTCCTGTGGATGGCTGGACACCAACCCAAAACCTGCAGTCCCATTTTTGCCAGGCATTGCAGGGGTCCAACAAAATGTCCCCAGAACGGAAATCCCAACAATTACCTTTCGGGCCAAGAGCAAATTGTGGCGCGTCTTGTTTTGGAGGGAAGCCAAAAAGAAGAAAACATGTTTGGGGTCCTCCAAAATGGGACCCATATTTTTCTTGGAGCTCGTGCTGCTTTCTGGTCAGTCTAGTCTTGGCCGAAGTCTGGCTTTTTAAGTCTGGCTGATGCTGGTGATGCTTCCTGGTCATTCTGGTCTTGGCCAAGTTTGGTTTTTGAGAGGCTGGGTGAGGCTGGTGATGCTTCCTGGTCATTCCGGTCTTGGCCAAGTTTGGTTTTTGAGAGTCTGGGTGATGCTGGTGATGCTTCCTGGTCATTGTGGTGTCGGCCAAGTTTGGCTCATTAGAGTCTGATGTTGGTGATGCTTCCTGGTCATTCTTGTCTTGGCCAAGTCTGGCTTTTTAGAGTCTGGGTGGTGCTGGTGATACTTTCTGGTCATTGTGGTCTTGGCCAAGTCTGGCTTTTTAGAGTCTGATGCTGGTGATGCTTCCTGGTCAGTCTGGTCTTGTAGAGTCTGGGTGAAGCTGCTGGTCATTCTTGTCTTGGCCAAGTCTGGCTTTTTAGAGTCTGATGCTGGTGATGCTTCCTGGTCATTGTGGTCTTGGAAAGTCTGGCTTTGTAGAGTCTGATGCTGGTAAGCTTTCTGGTCATTCTGGTCTTGGCCAAGTCTGGCTTTTTGGAGTCTGGGTGGTGCTGCTGATGCTTTCTGGTCATTCTGGTCTTGGCCAAGTCTGGCTTTTTGGAGTCTGATGCTGGTGATGCTTCCTGCTCATTCTGGTCTTGGCCAAGTCTGGCTTTTTAGAGTCTGGGTGGTGCTGGCGATGCTTCCTGCTCATTCTGGTCTTCGAAAAGTCTGGCTTTTCAGAGTCTGGGTGATGCTGGTGATGCTTCCTGGTCATTCTGGTCTTGGCCAAGTCTGGCTTTGTAGAGTCTGATGCTGGTGATTCTTCCTGGTCATTCTGGTCTTGGCCAAGTCTGGCTTTTTAGAGTCTGGGTGGTGCTCGTGATGCTTTCTGGTCATTGTGGTCTTGGCCAAGTCTGGCTTTGTAGAGTCTGATGCTGGTGATGCTTCCTGCTCATTCTGGTCTTGGCCAAGTCTAGCTTTGTAGAGTCTGATACTGGTGATGCTTACTGGTCGTTCTTGTCTTGGCCAAGTCTGGCTTTTTAGAGTCTGGGTGATGCTGGTGATGCTTCCTGGTCATTCTGGTCTTGGCCAATTCTGGCTTTTTTGAGTCTTGCTGGTGATGCTTCCTGGTCATTCTTGTCTTGGCCAAGTCTGGCTTTGTAGAGTCTGATGCTGGTGATGCTTTCTGGTCATTCTTGTCTTGGCCAAGTCTGGCTTTTTAGAGTCTGATGCTGGTGATGCTTCCTGGCCAGTCTGGGCTTGGCCAAGTCTGGATTTTTTGAGGCTGAGTGATGCTTCCTGGTCATTCTGGTCTTGGAAAGTCTGGCTTTTTAGAGTCTGGGTGATGCTGGTGATGCTTCCTGGTCATTCTGGTCTTGGCCAAGTCTGGCTTTGTAGAGTCTGATGCTGGTGATGCTTCCTGGTCAGTCTGGTCTTGGCCAAGTCTGGCTTTTTAGAGTCTGATGCTGGTGATGCTTCCTGGCCAGTCTGGTCTTGGCCAAGTCTGGCTTTGTAGAGTCTGATGCTGGTGATTCTTCCTGGTCATTCTGGTCTTGGCCAAGTCTGGCTTTTTAGAGTCTGGGTGGTGCTCGTGATGCTTTCTGGTCATTGTGGTCTTGGCCAAGTCTGGCTTTGTAGAGTCTGATGCTGGTGATGCTTCCTGCTCATTCTGGTCTTGGCCAAGTCTAGCTTTGTAGAGTCTGATACTGGTGATGCTTACTGGTCGTTCTTGTCTTGGCCAAGTCTGGCTTTTTAGAGTCTGGGTGATGCTGGTGATGCTTCCTGGTCATTCTGGTCTTGGAAAGTCTGGCTTTTTAGAGTCTGGGTGATGCTGGTGATGCTTCCTGGTCATTCTGGTCTTGGCCAAGTCTGGCTTTGTAGAGTCTGATGCTGGTGATGCTTCCTGGTCAGTCTGGTCTTGGCCAAGTCTGGCTTTGTAGAGTCTGATGCTGGTGATGCTTCCTGGTCATTCTGGTCTTGGCCAAGTCTGGCTTTTTAGAGTCTGGGTGGTGCTCGTGATGCTTTCTGGTCATTGTGGTCTTGGCCAAGTCTGGCTTTGTAGAGTCTGATGCTGGTGATGCTTCCTGCTCATTCTGGTCTTGGCCAAGTCTAGCTTTGTAGAGTCTGATACTGGTGATGCTTACTGGTCGTTCTTGTCTTGGCCAAGTCTGGCTTTTTAGAGTCTGGGTGATGCTGGTGATGCTTCCTGGTCATTCTGGTCTTGGCCAATTCTGGCTTTTTAGAGTCTTGCTGGTGATGCTTCCTGGTCATTCTTGTCTTGGCCAAGTCTGGCTTTGTAGAGTCTGATGCTGGTGATGCTTTCTGGTCATTCTTGTCTTGGCCAAGTCTGGCTTTTTAGAGTCTGATGCTGGTGATGCTTCCTGGCCAGTCTGGGCTTGGCCAAGTCTGGATTTTTTGAGGCTGAGTGATGCTTCCTGGTCATTCTGGTCTTGCAAAGTCTGGCTTTTTAGAGTCTGGGTGATGCTGGTGATGCTTCCTGGTCATTCTGGTCTTGGCCAAGTCTGGCTTTGTAGAGTCTGATGCTGGTGATGCTTCCTGGTCAGTCTGGTCTTGGCCAAGTCTGGCTTTTTAGAGTCGGGGTGGTGCTGGTGATGCGTCCTGCTCATTCTGGTCTTGGCCAAGTCTGGCTTTTTAGAGTCTGATGCTGGTGATGCTTCCTGGTCAGTCTGGTCTTGGCCAAGTCTGGCTTTTTTAGAGTCTGGGTGATGCTGCTGGTCATTCTTGTCTTGGCCAAGTCTGGCTTTTTAGAGTCTGATGATGCTTCCTGGTCATTGTGGTTTTGGAAAGTCTGGCTTTGTAGAGTCTGATGCCGGTGATGCTTCCTGGTCATTCTGGTCTTGGCCAAGTCTGGCTTTTTGGAGTCTGGGTGGTGCTGGGGATGCTTCCTGGTCATTGTGGTCTTGGCCAAGTCTGGCTTTGTAGAGTCTGATGTTGGTGATGCTTCCTGGTCATTCTTGTCTTGGCCAAGTCTGGCTTTTAGAGTCTGATGCTGGTGATGCTTCCTGGTCATTGTGGTCTTGGAAAGTGTGGCTTTTTAGAGTCTGGGTGATGCTGGTGATGCTTCCTGGTCATTCTTGTCTTGGCCAAGTCTGGCTTTTTAGAGTCTGGGTGGTGCTGGTGATGGTTTCTGGTCATTGTGGTCTTGGCCAAGTCTAGCTTTGTAGACTCTGATCCTGGTGATGCTTTCTGGTCATTGTGGTCTTGGAAAGTGTGGCTTTTTAGAGTCTGGGTGATGCTGGTGATGCTTCCTGGTCATTCTTGTCTTGGCCAAGTCTGGCTTTTTAGAGTCTGATGCGGGTATTGTTTCTGGTCATTCGATCTTGGCCAAGTCTGGCTTTTTAGAGTCTGGGTGGGATGCTTTCTGGTCATTGTGGTCTTGGCCAAGTCTAGAGTCTGATACTGGTGATGCTTGCTGGTCATTCTTGTCTTGGCCAAGTCTGGCTTTTTAGAGTCCGGGTGGTGCTGGTGATGCTTTCTGGTCATTGTGGTCTTGGCCAAGTTCTTTGTAGAGTCTGATGCTGGGTCTTGGAAAGTCTGGCTTTTTAGAGTCTGGGTGATGCTGGTGATGCTTCCTGGTCATTCTGGTCTTGGCCAAGTCTGGCTTTGTAGAGTCTGATGCTGGTGATGCTTCCTGGTCATTCTTGTGTTGGCCAAGTCTGGCTTTTGAGAGTCTGGGTGGTGCTGGTGATGCTTTCTGGTCATTGTGGTGTCGGCCAAGTCTAGCTTTGTAGAGTCTGATACTGGTGATTCTTCCTGGTCATTCTTGTCTTGGCCAAGTCTGGCTTTTTAGAGTCTGGGTGGTGCTGGTGATGCTTTCTGGTCATTGTGGTTGGCCAAGTCTAGCTTTGTAGAGTCTGATGCTTCTGATGCTTTCTTGTCATTGTGGTCTTGGAAAGTTTTGCTTTTTAGAGTCTGGGTGGTGCTGGTGATGCTTCCTGGTCATTGTGGTCTTGGCCAAGTCTGGCTTTGTAGAGTCTGATGCTGGTGATGCTTCCTGGTCATTCTGGTCTTGGCCAAGTTTGGCTTTTTAGAGTCTGATGTTGGTGATGCTTCCTGGTCATTCTTGTCTTGGCCAAGTCTGGCTTTTTAGAGTCTGATGCTGGTGATGCTTCCTGGTCATTCTGGTCTTGGCCAAGTCTGACTTTTTAGAGTCTGGGTGATGCTGGTGATGCTTCCTGCTCATTCTGGTCTTGGCCAAGTTTGGCTCATTAGAGTCTGGGTCCTGGTCATTCTTGTCTTGCCAAGTCTGGCTTTTTAGAGTGTGATGCTGGTGATGCTTCCTGGTCATTCTTGTCTTGGCCAAGTCTGGCTTTTTAGAGTCTGGGTGGTGTTCGTGATGCTTCCTGGTCATTCTGGTCTTGGCCAAGTCTGGCTTTTCAGAGTCTGGGTGATGCTGGTGATGCTTCCTGGTCATTCTGGTCTTGGCCAAGTCTGGCTTTTCAGAGTCTGGGTGATGCTGGTGATGCTTCCTGGTCATTCTGGTCTTGGCCAAGTCTGGCTTTTTAGAGTCTGGGTGGTGCTCGTGATGCTTCCTGGTCATTCTGGTCTTGGCCAAGTCTGGGTGGTGCTTCCTGGGGCAAGAAAGGATCCCTCGCACCGCTTCAGAGGAGATTTTGCCGGGGGTGGCCGAGTTGAAGGCAACCCGAAGGGATACTACTCAGCATCTCGGTGTCTGGGCAGGTCTGAATAGGGACAGGCCTTCAGGTCGGATGATATTTCTGAGTAGACCGTACCGTTGGGCGCTGGGCGTTTTTCGGACAGGAAGTTTCCCCCGTGGGAAACCCAGTTTTTCCTTTTGGTTTGAGGGGGAAACATGGGTTAGGTGCTCATTTTGTTGGATGGTGCTCTTTTTGGTGTAAAGGGGAACACAATTTTTCGATTTGGAGGCAGGACCACGTACTTAAGGGATGGGATACTTTCATGTTCATGGTTTGGCTTTGACGTGACCGTTTGTGGGCGCAAATGGCGGTTTCTCCTTTTGGCTTCCCTTCAAACCAACCCCAAAACAGGCACCCTCAACTGTTGGCTTCCCTTGAAACCCACCCCAAAAAGCACCCTCCACTTTTGATTTCCCTTCAAACCAACCTAGAAAGACACACTCTCAAAAGCCACCCTTGCAGCCAACCCTTTAACGGAAAAACGCAAACCCTCCAACGCCCCGCCCGCCCGGTTTCAACCGGGCGCTCGGGTTCCCGCGCGCCGAACGCCGAGCTCCTGGGAGGCCCTGCGCGCCAAAGACGCGGCCTCCGCGGTGCTGCTGCGCCGGGTGTTGGCCACGGGCGCCGCGTAGCTTCTCGGACTCTCCGTTTTCGTTGAGGGAGCCCCGCTTTTTGGGTGGAAGGGAATCCACAAAAAACAAACAGAAGAACAAAAGCAACCCTGAGAAATTGAGCTGCCCTAGGAACTCGTGTGTGTGTGTGTGTGTGTGTGGGTCAAAACCGTTTTGGGATGCCATTTTGGTTGGTAGGTGAATTCACCACCCATTTTAGGGGATTTTGACCCATGGCCACATGGGCGGCGCTTGGAGTTTGGTTTGGAGAACCCGTTTTTGGGTTGAAGGGAAACCACACAAACACCATGGGGCATAACCTATGGCTCCATTTTGGGGTGGATTAAAGTTCCATTTGCCACCTATTTTGATGTTTATCAGGGGTACAGGGTTTTGACCCACAGCCACATGCAAAAACCATGAACAAGTTGAGCTCCCCTAGTTTGAAGAAACCCAAAAAGACTAGACAAATGGAGTTAGTAGGGGAGATGTGTCTTTTTCAAGGGCCCCGTTTTGGTTGGAAAATGAAAACCAAATGGAATCCAGACAATTTGAGTTCCCCTATTTTGAGACAAATCCAAATCAAGATGTTTTTTTTTTGAAGCACAGAATACTGTTCTTGGGGTGGGGGGAAGGTCAGATGTGGGCCAGGGTTTGAGGTTTGAGGTTGTTTGGATTTCACCCTCTACAACTTTTTGGATTCCCCACATGTTTCTTTTCAACCAGCAAAAAGTGTAACTTTTTTGGGTTTAGTGGAACACCACTTGATTTCCCAAAAAGTTAAAGTCTAAAGATCCAACCCAGTAGCAGTCAAGAAAAGAGGCCCTTCTTGGGCATCTACAGCACCCAAGAACCCAACACCTTCTTGGCCTGGCTGAGAAATGGGCTTGCCCAACCTCCGGCGAGGCGTTCCGAAGCCGTTCCGCCGCCCGCGCTTCCAGATCTCGGGGTTTAGAGCGCGGGTTGCGCGTGAGGGGCAGAGTCTGGCAGTGCTCACACCTGTGGTTGTCAAAACTGTTTTGGTTGATCCCATTTTGGTTGGGATTGGTGAATTCACAACCCATTTTAGGCTTCCTATTTTAGTGGTTGGATTGGGATGTTCACTGGGGGTATGGGATTTTTGCCCATGGCCAGATATTGAGGATGCAAGCGAGGCAACAGGGGTCGCTCAATTTCCCATTTTCGTTGACCTCCAGCGGCAGTTTTTGAATGAACTCCACCAGTCCATCGCAACGTTTTTGCGTGACCCCTGTTCCAAATGTGTGTCTTTTTTGAGTGCACCCGTTTTTTGGCGGTTTCACCATTTTGGGTCCGATTCCTAAAAGCGATTCTCAAGGGCAGCTTTGGATCCTATGAATCCCCCTCCCAAAAACTGCACAGGGCCATTTTCTCAGAGGGGACCCCTGTTTAGCTAGCCAGTGATTGGAAGGGAGCCAAGGAGCTAGGGGTATCCACTTTAACGAGGGAGCCTTTTGGATCTATCTCGAGTTCTGTGAGTACATGGTGGTTAGGTTCCATTGTTGTTGTTGGGAGAGTCACTTCATTGTTGTTGGATCATGTTTGTAGATTCTTATTTTGTTTATATATATATATATATACACATATATATATATATATATATATTGGTTCTGTTCATTTTTAGCGGGCTGCAAAAAGCGGTCCGTTTTTTTGCAAGCCCATACCAAGGGTTGTAAAGGTAAGTCCTCAGATCCGACTCGACCGACTCGACTCTCCCCCGTCGCGTGTCTCGATCGCGCCGCATGCCTCGGACGGCTCCGGTGGATTCCACGGGCGGTTTGGGCGACGAACCAGAAGGAACAACGAACATGCGACCCGCCAAGAAAAGCACAAAGTCTGTTTGTCATCATTTTCTATTTGCGCCCCACTTTCGAAACTATCACCAGTGTTCCTAGAGGTTGCAGCCCCAGATTTGGAAGCGAAGGCAATACCCAGGCCCGAGTGTTCAGTGGCTTCCACCCTTTTCCCATTTTGGTTTGGCTTCCTCATTAAAAAACGATCAATCTCAATAGGGGTTCCAATTCTTTTTCTACCAGGGACAGACAGGTAGCCTTTTGATCTTCCTGGGCAATACCAAGTTTGTGGATCGACAAAAACCCAAGTGGTGTCTCCCTCGTTTTGGAGGGACAGCCTAAAATGGGCGTCTCCCCTTTGGTTTCGTTTCTTACAGCAAACCCGAAGGGACTCAAAAAGGAGAAATGCCCGCATTTGCGGCGAGGCTGTGGTCCGGAGCTGTGGCAGCTCTTGGTTGAAGCCTAGATGATTCAGAGTAAACAACAAAGAAATGGTAGTCCACTGCTGGCTTAGGGAGGACGTACGACCAAATTTCCCACACCAGGGCCCAGGCAATTTGTTCCCCTCTTGGGAAAAGAAGCTTCGCCAAACCTCCATTGGAGGGAAGCTGAAGATCGAATCCTTCATACCCGTGACAAGCTGGACGCAGACCCAAACCGCTTACTGGTTGGCTTCTGCAATTAGGCGGCTTGAAAAGCAGTTCGCAGCGGGGAAATTGGGCGTGGCGCGATGTCGCGCTGGCGAGTGGATGATAGGTTCGGGATTGATGCCTATACTTCTCCTGGTGGCTTGAACCATCACCTTTTGGGGCCGCTCTGAGTGCGGGGTCATGTTTAAGGAGAAATATTGGGCACCCTGTCGGTCTTGGGCGGGGAAACATGCAACGGCCGCTTGTTTACCGAAAGGCGCCCTTGCGTGTTTTTGAGCCCGCCTCAAAAATGAGACTCAAAAACACATCCCGAACACAAATATAGGTGAGAGCATGGAAATCTAGGTCTTTTGCATCTGTGAAGGGGGTTACTGTTGTACTGCTTTACCTTGGCACACCCCGGCTGTTGCCCCAAGGCAATGCCATGCTCCCGTTGAGAGCACTGCAGATCCCGCTCGCTGGCCCCGAGTTGCTTGTGGAAACGGACGGCGCCGGCGGAAAGGGTTGGGATCCCTTTGGTTTTTTTGTCACGGAAACCAAAAGGATCCCTTTCGCTATTTTAGAGGAAACCTTGATCCGACTAGTGCCGGCGTAAAGGATACCTGTGCCAAAACCAAAAAGGATACCTTTCTTTTGTTGAAGAAACCCTGTAAATGAAAGTCATCCAAGTGCCAGCGTCTAAGATGGTTTCCACTACCCCCAAACCACGACTGCGAGGTTCAATGGGCTATAGCGACTACAGCGCCATAGAAGGGCCCCCATTGAACTTCTGTGGGTAGCCTCGGTTTGGGGGCACTGGAAACCAAGCACCTCAGGCTTATTGGCCGGGCGCTCATGGAACCAGACTCCTTACACGTGCCCTTTTTTGGGGGCTGGCCGGTGGCTTCGAAGGGAGCCACGCGGAAAGCCAAAATACATTTTTGGGGTACCCCTATTCAGGTTTTCCGAGCCATCTCTTCTTTGTGGAACCTCCAAAAGTGTGCAGTTAATTGACAAGCTTTTGATTCACGGAACTCCAGCCACCCCTGCTATTTTGAGACACCTCTCTTGAAGCAGAAATTAACATTACTCCCGAAAAGGGACCCGTTCCCAACGGAGATCGCTCGGTGTCAAGCTAGGGAGCCCCAAAATGGGTGGCTTTGCTTGTGGCTTCCCCTTGAACCAAGCCAAAAACGATACCAACTCCAGAAAACCACATGCCCAAATGACGCTGCTTTGATATCTGTATTTGCAGAGGGAGTATATCCTTCGGACAGCGTTCTTTTCCCAGCAACACTGGTGGACGCGAACACTCACCCCGAAGCCTGTGTGGTCTTGTTGCCATTGAGCCTACCAAAATCACTGTACGCTTGATTGGTGGTTTGGATTGGTGGTTTGGGGATATGAACCCCTGGTTCTTGTACAGAATGTTAAACTAGACCAGGTTGAAAGCGGATGACCCAGAGTTGGGGAATGAACCGGGATAAAATTTCGAATGAAGGACACCAAATCGGGGATGACATGTTTTAGGCTTAGGACACCCCAACCACTTTGTGGGTTTTCCTTTTGGTTTCCACCAAAACGGAGTGATACTCTCAAAAACATCACACACACCCAAGAGGATTGTTCGGAGTCGCTTTCAAAGGTCGCGGTGGGGAACCGGTGAGACTCCAGTTCTCTTTCCAAGCGATCGCCTGGGAGGCACCAACCGCCTCATCGTGCGGCTCATCGACTCGGGGGACCAGTACGCGGTGAAGCCTGAGAACCTCAGGCCGGCGGTGCCCGCTTTTGGAGCAATGTCCCAGTTGCCCAGTGGTGCCCTTTTTTTCTTTTTTTGGAAAGGGTTCCCCTTTTAAAGTCAACCAACCAAGAAAGGGTGCTCTTTTTTTTCCCATGGCCACTGGGCATCTGAGATGTTGACCCCATATTCATCAACCCCAGTTTGTTTTTTAGTTGGGGGGGGGGGGGGGGTTGGGGGGAACACCCCTCCAAAAGGGTCGGATTATATTAAAATAGGAGGGTGTTCCCCTCCCAGAGTGATGATCCCCTTCTAAACCCATAATATTCATCCACCTTATGGGGGGTGCTCTTTTTGCAAAACTGGTTTGATTCCCCACATTTCACCCAGGGAGAAGCACCCCACTATTGATAAACTGGGGTCGATAAATATGGGGTCAACATTAGTTGGGTGTATCTTAAAATAGGGGACCCCAGCCTCTCAGCCAAACCCAAAAAGAGTACCCACCACAAAAAGAGAGACCCAGTTTTGCACTCCCCAAGTTCCGTCTAGGCCTTTAAGCTTTGTGCAAAGACCGTTAGTGGCAAGCCAAAGGTTCGGGGACTTGTTCTGGTCAGTCCGAAGAGGCAGCCGCCATTTTCGGGGGATCCCTTTAGACACGGCCCTTGTCGGTGTGGGAGGGTTCGTTTTCTCCAACCCTGGGGTTAAAGAGAAGGAATGGAAGGTTCATTCCCCACACAGCCCACCAACAACTGATACTGTGGGTGGACGAAAACATATTTCACACCACTTTGAAACCATGGGAAACCATAGTTTGTTGGTATTTTCAGGGGAATCATCCTTCTAGGGTCTCTTCGGTGGTGCAGGATTTCGTCCATCCACAGTAGAACAAGGGCTGATGCAACCGTGTCCCTTTTTTAAGCAGTATGAGAGGAGTTGTCGGCTTGAGGAACCCCCTGGATTCCACGTTGCTTGCCACCATGAGTGGCGCGCTTGAACTATTGGAACCGGAACCCCCTTGTTTTTATTGCTTGGTTTTTAGAAGGAAACAAAGGGAACCCACCTTTTTGGGGTTCCCTCATTTTGAGTATCCTTAGCGGCTTCCCTATCAGGATGGAAAATCAAAATACCAGCCCAGCCCATTCAGCTTCTATCCGCGCCTCCCGCTCCCCCACCCACCTCCCCACCTCCCCTCCTCCCCCACTTCCCCCACCTCCCCCCACCCAACCCCCACCCGCACCCCGCTCCCCCACCCGCACCCACCTCCCACCTCGCCCCCACTGAGCCGCCCCACCCACCTCCCTCACGCGCCAGGACCACGGCCGAGGAGGCGAACGAGCTCATGGGCAGCGACCTGGAGGAGAGCCAAAATCCTTCGACTCGCCTTCTCGCCCCCGCCGTCGCCGTCGCCTCGTAAGCAGAGTTAGGCTGCGCTGGCCGCGTGCTTTCCTTTTTGTTCGGGAGGCTTGGTGCCCGATTTTGGGCCGTTTCTTTTTTTTTGTGCTTTTGGGTTTCCAAGGATTTTTTGGTTACAACAATGATAATAGCAGAATCCCTCGAGAGTTGGTACCCGGTTTGGGCCTACTTTCTAACGGGCATGTGCCGGGGCCATGTAATTTGTTCAACGGCTTTACAGGGAAACCAAAGGAACACCGAACTTACATGTTTGGGTCAGAATGTCCGGGGCATGTTTCTTGAAAGGGAACCTGCAAAAGTGGCAGTTTCAGTGGACACCACCGATAAATTAGATCAACTTTTGATCAACTTTTCAAGGGGGAATCCAGTGAGCCGCTGTACGTGTCTTTTTGATCGGGCAGTTTGGTTGAAGA